TGACCGGAACTCCTTGCCTGAGTTCAAAGGTTTTCCGCAAGATACGGACTGCTGCTAGCCATGCTATTTTTTGTATTTATGTTGCAAAAACATCTCTCTATATAATTGGTGCGTTATCTGTCTCTACTGCTGTTTAAGAAGAATGCACATATCGGTTGTTCCTAACTGGTACTTAATGGTGCTTAAGGGTAGCCCAGTGTGTTTATTTAGCCACGTTGCTACGCCTTTCGGGGTATTCTGTAGGTGTCAGTGTTGAGCAGCCCGAAATCATGTGGCTTATATGTTATTCACATTGATGGCACATTCATTTGCTGTCTACGTTTTGTTTCAGGATTATTCTTCTGTGGCAGCACCTATTAGGTGACTGGTCCTGGGCAGCAGTCAGTAGACTTTCAGTCTCCGCCTTCAATCCTGTACTTTTCATCCAATCCAGTGACATGTGTTCATCTACATTGGTTAATGTAGAACAGTCCATGGAGTGGATTCGATTTCAGGGTTTTGGCTTTTTCTGTACACAAGGCCTCCTTTACTGTGTCTTTCAAGTTGTCTTCTGACTGTTCTTCGTTCATTTGGTGTGCATGTTGACTTTTCAGGGCTTTCCGATCATTGTAAGGCATTTTGTTGCTCATGCAATAGTACTAGACTTCATGAACTCGTCGTTGGAATGGAGTATATATTCATATAGGCCGGCAACCTTGACTACCATAGTGTGTTGGAATATAAAGTCGGTCTTTGTCAGCTTTGGGGTGATAATAGTTAAGAGTTTCCTGGTCTTTCTACCTATTTCTTCAATGTCCGTTCTGCTCCAGTTTAATATTCCAAAGCTGTACTGCATCACCGATACAGCGATGCTGTGGTATTCCTTCTTCACATCCCAACCGACTATAAAGAGCGCCACGACATATACAGGGTCGCCCATCCATGTGTGGACGGAATATTTCTCATAAACAAATACATTTTGGAAAAATCTATTAATGGGACGTTATACATGACATTTGATTGAACATTTCTACAATATTGGCCATTATACTGGGTGTCCCAATTTCGACCTACATATCTAAGTTGTGATTTTTCAAAACGAACGCCACAAATTTTATTGCATATTTGGATAAACGAATTCAAAAGAAGAAAGTAAATATAGTATAATATAGTTAAAAATGTATAAATAATCCAGGTGTCATCAATGAGGCGAATCAGTTAGTGGTTCTATTAAAGTTGCAGGAAAATTCCCATTGAAGTGCAAGGCAAATTGGAGCAGAAACTGATATATGCAAAACTTATGTCCAAAGGGTTATTGGCAGACAAGTTATCTGGCCTTTCTTTGTCGACAACAGATTAACAGGTACAGAATACTTGAATTTTTGATCGAACATTTGCCTTTGCTTTTGGAGGATGTCAACCTGCAAACTCGATGCATATGTACTTCCAACATGACGGTGAACCTGCGCATTATCATAATCGTGTGCGTAACTATTTGGACACCTGAAGTAACAATCTTTGGATCGGTCGTGATGTGCCTATAGCTTGGCCTGCTAGATCACCGATATGACACCGATGGACTTCCTTCTATAGATATCCACCATCTATCCCAGAAAATATGAAAGAAAGGATTAAGGATGCTTTTCTGAACATAAAGAAAAACATGCTGAGGGATGTGCAACGATCATTTATCCAAAGACTACGGCTGTGTATTCAACATGGTGGAGATATTTTCGAGCAGTTTTTGTAAATTAGGTCTTAAGTAGTGACAGTTGTTGGTTTCTGTTGTTTATAGTTGTTTTTTTCGATTACGCTTGAAGCTGATTTATACTGTTCTGATTATTATTAGTTTTTAAGTCAAATCTGTACTATCAGTAGCAATATGGAGCTAGCGCACTGTTTTTCTTTTGTTTTCATGGACGATGTGATTTTTTCCCTTAATTTTGGTGTGTTGTTCTATTAAAAGCTTAATAACTAACAAATCTAGTGATTTTATCTGAATCACACCTTATACCAAAAAAAGCTTATGAAAAATTGAATCCAAACATGCATAAATATACAGGGTGATGCATTTGAAATTTTTGAGAAAAAGTACAATTCGCGTTTTTGACCACCCTGTAAGAGCAAAAATAAAAATTCGAGAAAGTAGCAAATAAGATAAAAGCTGAGGTGTGTGAGTTTTTTTTATACAAAATTTATTACTACAAATGTCAAAATGGCAGATTGAGAGGTTGCCGAAGTGGACGGTTTTTCTGGACAAAACACCTTACATCCTAGTAGCTAATTACCAAAAACCCATTGTATGTTCTATCATTCTTTTTCTTTTGAATTGTCTTAACCAAATATGCAATAAAATTTGAGACATTCCATGTAAAAAATCACAACTTTGATATGTAGGTCAACATTGGGACACCCTGTAGAATTGCCAATATTTTAGAAATGTGGCCTCAAATATTATGTATAACATGCCATAAATAGATTTGCCCAAAATGTAATTGTTTATGAATAATATTTCGTCCACCCAAGGATGGGGCATCCTGCATAGCTGCCAAAATTATTCTCCAGGAATTAGCTTACAAATTCAAACTGATTGAAAGCAAGGTACATTACTATAAATATACTCCACAATGTGTCCTCGACAGCGACAAGTATAAACTATACTGGGATAGCACTGTGCTTATGGACCAATATATAAAACAAAACAGACCTGTCATAATAATCATTGTCGACAAGAGCGCACAGAAAGTAACTCTGGTTGATGTTTCCATACCTTACAATCTAGTTAACAAAAATAATGATAAAGTTGCAAAATACAGGAAGTTAGAATTTCAAATTAAATGCCAGTGGAAAATGAAGTGCGTGGAGACAATACCAATAATAATGTCTCCTACACGGGTGATACCAAAAAGTCTGCTAGAAAACATCAAAGCGCTGGAATTGAATGAAAACATCTACAAAATCGTATAGTAATGGTTTTTTTTCTGGCAACTGCTCGCATAGTAAGAAAATTTATGCGAAACCCAAGTACCTAGTGAGGTCACTTTTGGGGTTAAGCCAGAACCGCTCGATTAACGCAAATAGTAATAACATTTATTCCTAATAGAAAAAAGTATAGGCAGTAGTAGATAAGAGGAAATGGCGTACAATAAGCGAATGGACCCAAAAAAGTTTCGCAGGAACTTGTGCTTGGGCCCGAGCTCATATAAACCGGGTGTTTCAAATTCGACCCTCACTATTGAAATCTCGGAAACTGTAAGAGATACGTCGCACAAATTGAGGCAAAGTTGGGTATTTGGGTAATAAACAAAATGCCGCTTAGAAAGTTTCGAAATTGAAAGTACTTCCGGAGAGAGACGGAAAAAACGAACATTACTTGAAGTAGGATTTTAAAATAACTTGCACATTAACGTTGCCACTTTTTCTCCTCGACAATGTGGCATAAATAGGATTTCAATATGGCGTTTCGTATCTTGTCATCCAGCGTCAACTTTATTTTTTCTCATAGACACCATATTGGATTTTTGCACAGATGGATAGAGTTTTAATTCTGATTTCAAAAATGTATAATTTGTCATACATTGACATTGCCAAACCTTAGTTATTCCAGACAGACAGAAGTTACTAGGTAGCCCTTGAAATTATCAGATTTCATTTGTTTCATATACCAGACTAGACCTCAAATTGAACATAGCAACAGAGTTTGGAAGACTGAGGAGAAAAGAAGTAAATCGAGTAGTGAACAATGTACAGAGAAGACTTACAAAATAACGGACAACATTTTGAACATCTGCTATGATTTACCTTTGTTTATTTATGATTATTATGGTTAATACCATCAATGAAATTTACATTTTGTGTTCAGGTTTCACCATTCCTTTTTATTTACTTATAATTTTCATATAACAATAAACTCATGACCAACTAAGCAAATAGATCACCGAATTTAGGACTGAAGGACTAAGAACTTAGTTCCAATATAGCGTTCATATGAAAAAACAAACTAGGTGGTGGAAGTCGATAGAAGAAACGTCGAATTGAAAACTTGACTACGCCATCTTGTAGAGGAGATAAAGTCAGGAAAACATAAGAGTGATTTTGGGGTAAATTTGTTAGGCAAAACAAATTACTATTCAGGACTTATCTAGGAAATTCTGCCTTTTTGAAATAACTAAGGTTTCACAATGTCAATGTGTAACGTATTATCATTTTTGGAATCAGTATCAGTATCAGGTTTTCGCGAGCTTGTTTAGTCATCATTTAGCTACCTTTTCACAATCATACTAATACATTAAAAAGTTAACCATTTCTATCGGAATGTCGAACAAAGCCCTCTAGCGGCCACATGTGAAACTAACAAAACTTCAAATATTATAATATGTGTAGAATAGTTCTATTCAACTAGTCCAAGCTTTTTAAAATCGGCTTAGCCGTTTAGAGGATACAGGGCGTTTTTTACGGTAACCTTTGAATACCCCCCACTTTATTCTTGGAGATACAGCAAAAATTGTTAATAAAAAAAGCTCACATTATTCTAGTCTTTAAAGATCATATATTTTTTTGTTAGGTTAAAATAGCGGAATTCTCAGAAACATCACGTTTTTAAATTCAAGATTGCAGTTGCGCTCCCTAGCGGCCATTTTAGAAACCTGAAAATATTTCTCAGGTTTCTCCCTTGACCGTTTCAATAAGAACTTTTTTGCCGCAAACGTCTACGATGGATAGGTTCTCAGATACAGTACCTAGCATTCTTAGTTGGCCACCCTGTTCATATTTTATATTGTGCCTCAGTGGAAAACAAGACATTATGTTTTTCGTAGCATACGAGATACTACCAAATCATGCTGGAAACGTATTCGCATAAGACTTTCAAGTGAAACTGACTGCGCTTCCTTAACTCTCGCTTGAAGCAAAAGTAGGTCAAGCGCCTTTTCATCAAGTAAGTCTTTCTTTTGCGTACCACTCTTACTGATTTACAAAGGTGCCCCCCGAAGACTATTTCTCAAGTACTTGGTTGCAAGACACTAACGTCGGTCATACTGCAACATGCATCGATACAGTGTGTTTGTTTTCTCCTTGGTACTAGTAGGATTAACATTTGCAGATAATGCGTATACCAGTAAATATGACAACGTTGATGTAGAGAGGATTTTGAAAAATGACAGAGTGCTGGCGAATTACATAAAATGTTTGATGGAGGAAGGACCTTGTACGGCAGAAGGAAGAGAGCTTAAAAGTAAGTTTAAAAATGTTCTCATATCATCCTCGTCATGATCAGAATTAGCTCGTAATTAACATAGACTATATTTTTATTGAATGAAGTAGACGTAGTTGTTAAAAGGTTGGGACGTTAGAACATACATAGATATTTAATATTTTTTCATTCAAATATTTCTCAACAGATACAAAATCCAATTGCAGAAAAACACTATACAAGTGATGAAAAAAATAAAGGCACACATTTTAAAAATATTATTATGGATATATATATGTTCACTCATGTCAAAGTCAAATAGATAGCTAACCTAATTGTTAAAGCTTTTAGTAGGTAAAGTGGACAAAATTTCACCACGATTTAATCGCATAGTAACTTGTGCACAAAGTAGCAGCTTATCAAACATCTTCTGTGTTCATGACTGATCATGCCAAATTGATCTAAAATAACCTTCTTGGGATAGATGAATGTAGGATATGCACCATTTGCTTTTAAATACAGATATTTTAAGGTTTTTATTTAGATTTTCCCGACTTTAGATATTTGTAACATAGCGCAGACCAGATGACAACCATGCTCCCGTGAAATACAATGCTTTAGATCAGGGCTGTCCAACTTAAAGTGGCCCAAGGGCCACTTCAAAAAAAAATGCAGTTTGGAGGGCCGAATTATAAAATCTTTCTATACAACATTATTACTGTGTTTTAATAGGTATACAGGGTTATCCAAATTAAGTGTCCACCATTAGTAACTTTGTTATTAGTGAAAATACAAAGTTGTTTGAATTAGCAAACTAGTAGCATTTTTAACGCTGGTAAAAATGAGAAATAAAAAAAAACAATTGAGAGTCGTTATTTTGATTTTTTTCAGTAAAATAACATTTTTTTAAATGGAAACCCCTGTATATTATATTTTTTTCTGTTAAAGCATCAAATTTTAAACAAAAAAGTTCATAATGACTTTTCCGCTAAAGTCAAAAATAAAGTCAAAATAACGATAAATATTTTTAATTATTTGCAGTATTATAATATTAAGACGGCTATGAAAACAACATGGCGTTCGCGATTTGACAGCATTAAGATAAGCGACAAATTGTTAAACTGGACATACTCGCAACTAGAAGGCTTTGGAAAACAATGATAAAATCAATTAATGTCAAACATTAGTGTAAATACTTGTTTATAAGCTTTATTGTGTCATTAATTTAAAGAAAAATGTTCTCCCATGAAGAAAAGTGTGATATGTTAGAATGCTATTTAGTGTGCAGAAAATCCTCCTTGAGAGCAAGAGAATACTATAGTGAATTATATCCCGCTCGCATTCAACCGTATGAACGATATTTTCTGAGACTTTATCGAAAATTTAGGGGCAACGAAAATGTTTTTGCTAAAACAAGGGCAAAAAAAGAATTCATAATAAGCGAGGCCACGGAAATTGCAGTTATTGGATATTTTGAAGCTTATCGTGAGAATTCAATAGCAGATATTCTCAAGGACTCTAATTTCAGTTATGGTACTGTTCAAAGGATTTTAAAAAAATACAAATTTATTCCGTATAAGTACCGACCAGTTCAAACGCTTTTGGCAGGGGATCCAGAGAGAAGACTTGTTTTTTGCCATTGGTATCTTAGCTTCTGTCGCCAAAATGTAAATAACTTTCGTTACCTTTTATGGACAGATGAATCAAATTTTTCAAATTCTGGAATGTTTAATAGAAAAAACCACCATTATTGGTCAAGAGAAAATCTTTTGTTAGTACATCCAAGAGGCCCACAAGTCCGTTTCAGTTTCAACGTTTGGTGCGGTATAATTGGTTCAAAAATTGTTGGCCCGTTCTTTTATGAGGGAACCCTAACTGGTGAAAGATATGTGGAATTTATGTCAGAAATTCTGACTAATTTCTTAGACGAATTGGATCTTATAAGTAGACATCATCTGCATTTTCAGCAAGATGGCGCACCTGCCCACAACTCCAGAGGTACTTATCATTTTCTAAGTACTACTTTTAATGATCAGTGGATAGGAACAAATGGCCCAATACAGTGGCCTCCCAGATCACCAGATCTAAACCCACTTGATTACTTCTTGTGGGGTTACTTAAAGAACCAAATTTACAAGCGAAGGTACGATAACCTTGACGCGTTAAAGACTGCAGTTAGGGAAAAGATAACCCAGATAGATGGTAGGACCATACTTACGACAGTTCGAGCAGTTGAAAAACGTGCCCAAAAATGTATTGAAGAACAAGGTGGTGTTTTCGAGGATCTTCTTTAAAAAAAATTGTTATTGTATTTTGTAAGATTATAAGTTGATGTTGAAAATAAAGTTTGTCGATACAATTTAATTGTTTCAGATTGGAGGCCATAACTTCAACAATTTGTAACCTAGGAGAAAAGTTATTGTAAGCTTTTTTGTTTAAAATTTGATGCTTTAACAGAAAAAAATATAATATACAGGGGTTTCCATTTAAAAAAATGTTATTTTACTGAAAAAAATCAAAATAACGAATCTCAATTGTTTTTTTTTATTTCTCATTTTTACCAGCGTTAAAAATGCTACTAGTTTGCTAATTCAAACAACTTTGTATTTTCACTAATAACAAAGTTACTAATGGTGGACACTTAATTTGGATAACCCTGTATACTATAGTATATGGTATACATATATGTATACATGACCCGTGAAGCGGGCCGCAAGAAAGGAGTTCGCAGGTCGCATGCCGCCCGCGGGCCGTATGTTGGACAGCCCTGCTTTAGATGATTCCATGTTAGTCAAATATCTGCAATTTCTAGTAATGCATCCAAGCATACGTGATATGAAAAAAATGATCCGAAGTTGTAAAAAGTTTAATTCAGTTAGTATTTGACCGATCAAAGACAATATTACTCGAGATCAAAGAAATTAACAATTATATGTCCTAGAAAGAAAACAATAGGCACTGAATACCTAAGAAATTCCTGCATATTTAAAATATAAATGTAAAATGATGATATTTGTGAAATCAACACAAGCAAAGTCTGGGTTATGTAAGAAAACCCAACACAAGAAATATTTGAATACGCCAAAAAGTTAATGCAAAATTAGAAACGTACAAAAATGGACAATGACATTTTTGGTCGTTTTCCCTAGTCAACCTATTTAATGCTATGAGGAGTAAAAACACACGCAACTCGTTGGTCAAGAAACGGGTGCCCTATTAAGAATAGGAGTCATATACCCATATCGCCCCCCCCTCCTTATAGGAGCCCATCAATACACTGACTTAGCAGTGGCGCCACCTTGGAAAAAAATATATATAAAAACGGGGGTCTTATGGCACATCATTTTGAAGCTTCTGACTAGTCCTTTATAACCCTAGAATATAAAGTCAATACCCTTACCTACTAGAAAATGGTGGTACATTTAATAATTACCTAAATACATTGACATTTAACTTGATAATTCGAATAAATACGTTGAGTTCAGTCTAGAAGATGCTGAAAATCGTTGCCTTGAACTTCTTGAAACAATGAAAGCCGGTCCGTAATTTCGCGTCGAACATTTTCAAACATAGTAACATCGATAGTTCTACAAATATTTGTTATTCTCAGCCGTATATCCAATATTGAAGCAGGTTCAGTTTCGTACGTAAAAATTGCCTCGATTTTTTCTTCCAATGGACGAGAATTGACCATTTTAAAATTAGTTCTAACATTATCTAGCAGTAAAACCGAAAACTAAATAAGAATATTTTAACTGTACAATGATATTTGTTTTCGTATTGATATTCTTGTCACTGACAACAAAAAATAACAAAACAAGTTTTTATCGCTGCTGCTGTGGATACGGCAGAGAATTACAATTATTTGTAGAGATATGCATGTTAGTGGGTTTGTGTTCAAGTAATTGTTAAATGTACCATCGTCTTGTAATAGGTAAAGGTTTTGACTCTATATTCTATGGTACAAGTACTCGTCAGGAGCTTCAAAATGATGTGCCACAATACCCCCGTTTTCATATTTTTTTGTTTCCAAGATGGCGCCCAGCGTCCATCTTGACATTTTCATCTGTCAATTTTACTCTAAAATATCCACACATCAATTTCATTTCCTCAAGTTTTAATTTTTTGAATTGATCCGTTCAAAAAATCAAAGGGGAGGGGGACATTAAAGAAAAGCACTGTATCGTTCAAAAAACAAAACAATACAGATTAAAAAAGCTTTACATGCGAAGAACTCTTCCAAACTATTAAAACACTTATCTGATTGAAATGATGTCAACTAGTTTTAAAATTGCTTAATGTGTGCTTTTGGATTATCTTCTTTTAAATTATCGAACAATAACAACCCATGTAACTCAAAAAATTCTCGTATGCTGCAGTAGGGTGTTGTGGAGGTATCAGCAAATCTTTAGAGCGAGTTTGATAATCATGTTCTTCTTTCTTATTGAAAAGGTTCAATTTATTCTTATGCACAAATATTGACAATTCATAAATGAAAATACAAGTTACTGTCAAAGTTCTTAAGGATCGAAAATAATCCCTGCAAGAATAGCACCAGTTAAAATTTGCAATGATTCTAATAACATATTTCTGGAGAAGAAAAACTCTATTTATCGATGAACTTAATGTGCCATAGCGCAAGTGGCAGTTGAAGCATGAATAGTTTAGACTGGGTAACAGTTGCTTGCTAAAGTGATTTGATAATCGTTTTATACCATAAGCACTTTTACGCAATTTATGACACAGTGATTCTACATATGGCTCCCAAGTTAGATGACAATCAATGGTAATACCCAACAACTTAACGAAAGAGATGTTTCAATTGTTGTAACGTTATTAAAAATGCTTAAATCCCGGTTATCTCTTAATGAATTTCATTAATTGAGTCTTATTTGTATTTAATATAAGACCATTATTTACTGACCATTTTTAGCGGCATTTGACAGATATTCATTGAGATCATTCGCATATAGTAAAAAAGAAAAGGTCCCAGGACCGATTCATGGGGAACACCTGCCTCGATAGCCGTTAGCTCGCTACTT